ACGCGCTACCAATTTTGGCGCGTTTATCGCACACGCTGGCTGAATGTCTGCTGTTTTTTTTTTAAAGATTTATTTTATAGACGCGCGGCATTCAGCGCACATAAACTTTTCGGATAATTAATTAATTCTCGAATAGTATATAGACGTTTTCACTTAAATAAAAATTTCGCGTATATTTTGTAAACATATTCAAAATAACTTATTCTTTAGATGTTTCAGTTTTCGTTAGCAGACTAAAATAAATAAGATATGAATAAAAACTTTCAATAGTGTCAAATGGGGAAATAGTTAAAATAAAGCGTAGAGTGTGCAAATAAATTTATCTTAATGACATTTTAACAAAAATTTCCATAAAAACACTGTAAATTCATACTAAAAAAATAACTTAAGAATATGTTGTCATTTTAGTCTGAGGTATATGGAAATAATTGTGCAAGACTCTGAAGAAACACTTTCTTTTAAATGTGTGAAATATTTCATAACATATATGGAAGAAGAAAGTACAGCATTCTGTGTTTTGGATGATTTTCACCAAATGTAATATAAATACGAACTAGAAACCGTAATAAAAAGTCCTTCCTCTCCAATCAGATCACCTTTGTGTTGCATTGTATTTGTAATACTTCTAAAAATCCAATTTTTACCTAAATTAAAAAACAGTTATTCCATAAAAGATAATAAATTTGAACGTATATAGAATGAATTTTGTAATTTGAGTTATGTTACAAAATAATTCATAGTTTATATATTTTATACTAATAATTTAGATAAAACCTGTCCAATTTAAGAATGTGTGTTAACCACATTCTTAAATTGTAAAAGGACGACTTAACCCACATGTAATTCATTTCAAAGCATAAAAGAAAGCTTATTTTTATTTTACACAGCAACAACAGCATTTTCATGCAGTCAAGGTTTTTTAATTGCTAGTTATTATACATAATACTTAATTTTTAACACATTCTTATTAGAAAGCATAACTAAGAAACTTCTTTTTAAAGCCCCACAGTAATTGCAAAGAATGTCGTTAAATTTACAAAAGTATTGAAGATATATTGAACAGCATTATAACAAGAAACTACTGTACAAAATATGTAAATTTAACATAACTTCTTTTTTAGTATTTGCATAGTTTCCTCCAAATGAACCTTAATGGGAAGTTATCTTGCAAAAATTTAAAAGTATTAAAATGGCCTCTATTTAAGATGTAACTGCATTTATAATTATTTTGTAATTGTGAATAGATTATATTATTGCAATTAGATTATGCACTTACAACATAATTGCATAAAGTAATGAAATTAAGAGTTCACAGATACAATGTAATATAATTACAAAGCAATTATCTAAATTGTAATTATAATCACTTATTTAATACCACAATATTATTACAATCACAATGTAATTTAAATTGGGTACTATATTTGTATACCCTCCACTCAAAAGGAGGTACTGATAAGCCTGGAAGTTATTATCAACAAAAAGCCTGTTCAGGACAGTTTGTTTGATGACAATTTCCACCGGGCGAAAAGTACATTCTTAAGCCCAGGCAAATCATGACAATAAAAATCATTTAGTCTCATGATTCACTATATTTCAAACCCTAAATTTGAATTCTGCACCAAATTATTTACCTATATTTTAATATACTTTATGAATTATTAGAAGCGATATGGCAAATATCTTCTAAAAATAACTGTAAAATATTTGTATCCATTAATTGATTCAGATACACACTTTTATTATTTAAGTATATCAAAATAACAGTTTCATGTTCCTGAAATACAAAATTATGAAAAAAGTTAAAGTAATATTCTTAGAAGCATATGATATTAGTCACCAGCTGCAAAAATAGTTAATTTTTTGCCCTAAATACAAGTTTATTACACAGTAGTCAATACGTGTAACTTAATAACATGGTATATAAAAAATTAATGATAATAAGTTTATCAGAAATGAATTAATTCTGCAAATAAACTTTCTGCATTTGAAAATTTTCTACACCTGAGGGGAGGGAGAGATCTAGTAAAATTAGATTTATTATAACTTCAGTTGGACCAAATACCTTCTTCTCTCTATATATATGCATCACTAAAGAAATAAATAAAATTATCATGCTTAAAAAACAGATGTACCATACCAGTTTTTTTCCCCTTGTTACCCTTTACATTGAGAAATAACAAACAGTACAACGCTGAAAAATACTATCCTTTGAAATTTTATTTAAATGAAGAAACACACACCATCTTTTTATTTAAGCATTACACTTCAAAAACAGATACACATACCAATTTATTTTCACTAGCCTTTATACTGATAACATGCCATATAAAAATGAAAAGAATTATCCTTGAAATTTAGATAAAATGAAGTAACACAATGAAAAATTTATGCACACGGACATCTTTTCTCTATTGCATGTTGTCTGACATGATCCACAAGTGCCTAAAAATGTACCCAAAGGAAACACATTTCAATATTAACAAAAAATTGTTTACAGATTAAAATTCATTTCATTTCATACCAGTATTATAAAGATCATCATGCATGAAACAAATCTGCTTTCCCATACTTTTAAGTAAAACTGAACTGAAATTTTATACTGGAAAATATGCTATATTTCTATATATTAGAAACAAGAAAAAATAATACCATAATAATATACTCATAGCCTAGCAGAAAGTAACATATATAACATCAAACACAGAAATTTATATACTCGTAGCCTAGGAAAAAGTAATACATATTACATAAAACACATAAATTATTTAATATAAAACATACATACCTTCTAAAATTATTTTACTTTTTGTTTCTTATTGGCCGATGCTGATGAATATGAAACGTTATGGGCTCTTTTGTTGATAAGATGCTGTGTAAGGCCTTTGCATCTAGTAATAAAAAAAATTATCAATAATTACTTTCTTAAGATTACAGCATTCTGGCATGGCCACATGCGTACATTTATCAATTATTCTTTCAACTAATTCTTTTGTGATGGCTGATTGTAAACGAAGGAGTACATCTTTACATTTTTGAAATTCTCGTTCAGCTTCCCTACATATTCGATACATTCCTGAAGAGATGACCTTCAGTCCACCTTTATTGCTATGTTTTGTAAGAATTGTGCGATGCTCGGGTATGTCAGGTTCCAGCATGTCCTCTGAAATGGTCATAGCTGTTTTACAATTTTCACATATGCTTTTTTTTTTCAACAACTTATTATATATGGCTCCTGCGATGTAATGTATATCATTTTCTTCCACAGCTGGGGGCAAGCGACGTTTCACTGCCACTGCAGAAGAGGTAGATGGCACTACAGAATTGGAGATAGGATGCAAGACCTCCTTTCTGATAGCAACCTCTAATTCAGAAGCATCAAAGAGGCTGTGGTCACTTTCAGAACAATAATTTGGATTATTGATATCTGAAATGAACTGTGATAGGCACACTAATTTCAGTGCTCTCTTGGCTTGCAAAGCAGTAGGCTTTGCACCCCAACTTTCGTCTAATCTGTGAAAAGGCATTTTCCAGCGCATCTTGTGTCAACCTGCCTGGTAAGAAAAATGTAAACCCCTCGGAAAATAATTCTTTTGAGAGTTTCACAACACTCAATGTGCTCATAATAATGCCAGTTTGAAATGGCTTCCATGCTTTCCCAAACTGAACAGTTTCAGTCACATGAATGAATTTCAATAAAATATTAAATTTCTCATCTTGATTTTTGATAGTGATGCCTTTTTTTGGATGCCTTGCAGTCATAATTGTAAACCATTCTGCTACAAGTCTCAGCCACCATGCAGAAGTTAATGCTTCTTTTGCAACTTGGTGTAAAATAACTGCTTTTTTTCAATAGCAGCAGCTGTTTTTACAGAAAACAATTGCACAGCAGATGCCCCATTCATCGAGGAAAAGTGTGTTGGGAAGAGATGAACTCTGTTCAAGTGATGTAGAGATCTCAGGGCAGCATCTGATTCTATCTCACTTGACCAGAGTCGTTTCACATACACTGAAGATACTATCCTCGATGGCAAGGCATGCTGCTGGCGAAATTCCTCTGGTAATATTATAATACTTGAAAGAAATGTATTTCTCATATTTTTAATGAGATGTGGTACATCTGCAATACTGTGAATGAAAACATCAGGTCCTCCAATGTTGTAATTTGTCTTCCTATCTGTCCTAGAGACAGACACATCCAATGACGACCACATTGCTCTGTTATTGCTTCCCATATCTGAAACAGAGGCTCTTACAGTTAAACCTATTTCTGTAGCTGCTACTACAGTTCTATGAATTAGATCTTTCATGTCAGAACCTGATGTTGAAGGCCCTGTTAATTCATTGGCAACAATCTGTTTCCATGATGTTTTAAGGCCTCTAAGCATTACAATAGTGTAATGCTTAGCTTCCTAACGTAACATTTCCAATGAATGACTTAGACGATGTATCAAAATCTTGATATGAAGCTATTTCCATTTCGTCAACTAAAAAGCAGCAGCAGTTCCTATCAAGAGCATCCAATGAATGAACTTTTGTCTTGAGGAAAAAAAACAAATTTTCTAAAATGCCGAAATTAATTTTTATGTCCCTAATCCTCCTGTTCAAGGTACTGTACGATGGTGCTGGATATCCAGTACTTCTGAGGTAATTATATCCATGTTTGCCCAAAGCAAATCGCATCTTCAGTCCTTTTATAATGGACTTTTCTGACCAGTTCCTTTTTGACTGCACAGCAAGGGCTCCTACTTGCTCATCGGACAAAAATGATGTCAATTTTGCATCTTTTTCTTGAAGCTGTTGCTCAAGGAATTCTATTTTTTTTAACAACTCTTCATTTGAAGCAGGTAGAGTTTCCTAAATTCAAAAAGAAATAGTAAACATGTTATGCTGTGATTATTTTTTTAAACAATGGTTGACTGAATTAATATATTTGTAATAACAATGATTTTTTCAACAATTTTTTTGGAGAATATTAAATAATTTACCACTTCAGTATTTGGCTTAGGACATCTTACTTCTCTTATCCTCTTGTCAGTTACAGATGGTGGTGGATTTGGAATGCTAAAGAGTGTTGGTACTGCAGTTTTTCTTAGTTTTTTAACTATCTTTGCATAGTGACTCAAATTGAGATTCCTCAAAATGATCCTGTAAATACATAAAGTAATAAAAAAAAAGTATACAAAAATAAATAAAAGTACAAAAAAAACAAACCACACGAAAGAAATGTGAGAAAAGTGTTTCACACAGTGAGGTTGTGCCAAAGGCAGCAAGCATGAACTGTAAGTAAGTATAGGCAATAAATAAATATGCAGGTAATTAAATTAGGCCCAGTATTATAAAAAACTGAAACAATAAACAAACCATGTCTAACATATCAGCAGCAGCATCTTGTAAGCTTGGGCAGAATTTAATTATCCAATATTTATTTTTTGCCTATAATTTAAAGTGTTCTTTAGAACATTATCCAAAAATTAAATGAAGTAGTGTTTTGCTATAAAATTAAAAACAACTAAAATAAAACTTTATATTTCTTGCTATAGTGCTCTTACAATAGATAAGAAAATATGAGTTCACTTCACCCAACTTTTAAGATACTAGGCCGATAAATACATTTATAATTAGAGCAGACTATGATTCTTGTTATAATTGTAGTAATGTTTATTGCTCTAATTGAAATATTTAATTTTTAATTCTCTAATCATTCAAAACATAGGCCTAATTTCGAAGCACAGTGCCAACATGCATTTTAAAAAGCATCAAGGCCAGTTTTAAACGACAATTTTTTAAATTACATCCCGGCACAGACATATCCAATTAAAGTTATTAAAAACTCTAGAACGTAGTTCAGTAGCTTTCTGAATTTGTAGGCAATTTCTTATTTAGAGATGACAACACAAAATAACGCTTCAGAAAATATTATTTATCATGTATAAAAATCTGCTTTGTAACACAGATCAGTAATAACTGTTTATCAATGTCATGAGGATTTAATTTGACGAGATCACATTCTTTAGAAGTATCAAATTCATGAAAGGATTTTGGCTTGGCCTTTGAAATTCATCATTATAGGCAGATTTATTTGATTGTTATGCATGCATTAAAACACTACACATGCATTAAAAACACTACAATTATTTTTGAAAAATACACATGCAGTTTCACAAGTTTTCTGTGCTTATTTGAATGTTCTGCATTCATTTCTAAATCTTTACTCCATTGCCAAATTGTATAATACTGTGATTATAAATATATGGTACTTGCAATTATTGAAGTCAGATTATATATATTTTGTCTCATACTATTCAATTTATTCTATTGACTTCAGATGTCAATGTCAAAATTCTGGAAGTTATTTTAACCAAGAAACATTAGTGGGCACCGTGCATAAAAAACTCATCTAACTTTTTAACAATAGTGATTATAAAATAAAGAAAAAAAATTATATATCATTCCAACGATATTGCAACTATAGTATAATGTTACATATATCTTTAGCAAACATTCAGATTTTATCTTGACTTTCCAAATTATGATTTGTTTTTAATAAATTTCAATATGCTAATGATTTTCATGTTACATTAGTATAATTCCACAATTAGCACAGGAAAACAAAATTGCGCTTTATATTAGAAGAGAAATTTCTTTTCCACATTCAAAACATCCACATTGGCGATGTTTGGCGACGGGTACATTAACCCTAGACTAATTTAATTATAGCTATTATTACAGAAATTAGCAGATACTCAGGTTATTGTACACAAGAATTTCACTTTACTTACACATTATAAACATCAGAGAAGATATAAACTCTAAATCAAGGCGTAATTAACATTATACTTAGTAAGCAAATTTCAGCGCTTGGACCAGGTTTCCAATTGTCTCTTCGGCAATTATTTACCCATATTTTTCTTCTTTCTTCATTTTTAGGAAATTTTACCAATGTATGACCTTTCCGTGAATGATTTGAACAATTAATAGCTGCACATCCGCCCATTTTACACAAAAAAAACACAAAAAATTGTTGCACCGTAACTACACAGCCGCCATTTAATCTCCCACTTGGGATAGCGAATGCCTGATGATTCAGCCTGGTATATAGGAGCCTTAGCTGAGGCGAATAGCATCGGCCCTCAGCCTTCTAGGACAGGGGCCGTACCTTGGTGTTAATGTTAATGTGGGGAGCACTGAAAATAAATGTAGAAGGAAAGAAGAAAATTCGAAAATTAGGGAGAAAAGTAAGCAAAAATTTGAAGGGGAATTTGGCTGTCAGAAATACCAAGCTGTTTCGAAATGTTGGGTGCTTTTGAATATACTTTCAGGAATATTTCAAGGAATGTGGGTGTTCAAAGAGAAAACACTTGGACTTGTATACCAGCAAATACCACAATTGAGCTTGTGCTAACGGAAAAGACAAAAACGATATCATTGCAGATTAAAGTGAAAAGCAACTGGTTTTCAACTATATGTTTGTATAAATTTAAATTACGTTATAGAACATCATATCATCATGAACAGAGAATTCCATGATTTCTTAGTCGAATTATTTGAATATTCAGAAATTTATCCAGTGATGTATGTGGATGTCAGCTAAAAACGTTTTCCCTCCTAATGAAACCAGTCTTATAAATTTAAATTACGTTATAGACCATCATATCATCATAAACGAAGAATTAAATGATTTCTTAAACGAATTATTTGAATATTCAAAAATTTATCCAGTGATGTATCCTCATGTCACCTAAAAACGTTTCCCTCCTGATGAAACCAGTCTTTCCTTTTATCTCATGCCTTCAAAATGCTTAGCCTCTAAAGACTGATAAGGGCTCTGACCAAATACTGATGAAATGGATTGAATTGGATTATTAAGTTACGGCAAAGCAGGGCTATCTGCCTAAAAGGAGGGATGCCTTCGTGAAGAACTTTCTAAGAGAAATCAGCTGATATACACGTTGCCCATGCAACAAGCCCGTTCGCGGGATTTGAACCCCGGAGCGAACTACCAGTGTTCAACAACTTTACCAAAAAGTACAACTTATAGGGATAAAAAGGAAGTCAAAGCTTGTGAGCTGGACAATAATCAATGATCGCTCCATAAATGCATACTGATACCCTTTAGTAAAAATGGGACAGTGTATCATTTTTATCAAAATGACAGGATGCTTCTGATATATAATTTCAGGAGTACAATAAAGTATGTGTGCTTATCACATCAAAAAAAGTATGTGTAAGCGCGCACTCAAGCTAACTGTAACTGTACCGGAAATCTGACGCTGTGAATCATGTCTGTCTGTCTGTCTTAAATTCGATGTTTTTATTATGGCTTGTGAAATATGTCAAAAACCGTATGTCTTTACAAACGATGATAGTTTTGATGTTGATGTGAAACCGCATTTGTGCACTACCTGTGGTAAAAGTTTCTCGTTAAAAATTCAGCTTAAGAGGCACCTTTTATCTCATGTTGCTGGTGCACCTTATATTTGTAGGAATTGTGAAAATAATACCGAAAACCGCGATACTAAATCTTACAATTTGAGACTGACTAAAAAGCCTGATCATTATTGTGATGTATGTAACAAATCTTTCTGTACAAAACGGTTGTTATTGATACATTCACAAGAACATACTGAACATATTGATGAAAACTATAGTTGTGATAAATGTGAAGAAAGATTTGTTAATGCTTTTGACTTGAAGAAACACTCATTAATTCATAAGAGTAAAAAATCTACCAATAAAGTTGTTAAAGACAGTAAGGTTGAATTGTATAAGTGTAATACATGTGACAAAAGTTTTGCTAGTGCGCGCCATTTAGAGAAGCATTTTGTAAGTCACAACAAGAAACATGTTTGTGATGTTTGCAACAAAAGTTTTGTGTATCCAAAAGCCTTGCATAATCATCAGGTGAATGGGAAATGTAAAAATAACAGTTCTCAAAGTGACTGCATTATTAATTCAAATGAATCAAATGTAAAGAGCTCTAATTCAGATGCTTCTCAGTTGGAAAGCCCGAGTTCAAGTGTTTCTGAATTTAAAAATCAGTTTGCATTAGATTCCAGTAATTCTGTTACAAAAAGTATGTCTAATTCACCTTTAAATATTTCAGTAGCCTCTAAAATTCAGAATGATGCAAATTTAGATGAATCTGGAACTGTTGACAGGAAGCATGTATGTGATATTTGTGGGAAAAGTTTTGCTCGAAAAAGCAGTCTTGAAGGACACGTGATAATACATATCTCAGAATCATTTGATAGTGCTGGAGAGGAAGATGTATCTGATGAAGATCAGGTATGGAATACCACTGTTGAAACAAAAGGTGTTGGAATTGAGGATTATGAAGGTTATCCTAAGAAAATTAAACTTTCGAAAGTTAAAGTAAATAAGACTTTAGAATGCAGCAATTGTGACTTTATTTGCAATTCTAAGAGAAATTTAAAAGAACACATGCTAGAACATGATAGAGTTTCATCAGTGGAAGATATCCAAGAAGAACATGATAAAATTTCATTAGTGGAAGATATCCAGGAAGAACATGATAACGTTTCGTCAGTGGAAGATATCCAAGAGAATGACAAGCCATGTGAGGACACATTTAATTCTAATGAAGGCCTTAATGAGCAAATTGATACTAAAGATGAAAAAGAAGAAAAGAAAGATAAGGAACAAAAAATATATACTTGTCAAATATGTAATAAAGTTTATCATAGGAAAAAAAGACTTAAAAAGCATCTTTTATTACATGTTGAAGGGGGTATTGCTGAACACCACTCAACAGCCTCAGATGATTCTGATGTTTCCATATCTTCGAAAGGGCGGAGGAAACGCAGGAAGAACTTCGCATGTGGAGTTTGTGGAAAACGTTTTGCAGGAGAAACGTGCTTGAGGAAGCATTCTATGAAGCACACCGATGAAGAACGTGAGCATGGTTGTGAATTGAAAACTTCAAGAAAAAAGAAACCTGTTAAAGTTCTGATATGTGAATACTGCAATGAGGAATTTACTGGGAAAAAACTTGCTTTTGAAAGACACAGACAAATGCACACTCCAGAAGTTTGTGGGATTTGTGATGAGAGATTTGTAGATCGACCAAGTCTCAGGGAACATTGTCGTATCCATATTGGTACTGAGGAAGGACGGAGGTTTATTGAATGCAGCCAGAAAGCTCTTGATGCTAAAAATGGAGTGCTGCCACCAGAACCGAAAGTAGAGTACATATATTTGGTTTTTCGATAACTTTTGTATTTTTAATTCGAAACAACTGAGTAAGTTTTTAAGTAGCTGAAGAAAAATCAAAATAATTTGTAAAAAAGTAATTGAGGCTTTGTTATTTAAATTGAATATTATCAATTGCCTAAAGTAATAATCTGAATTAAGGCATTTTTCTCCCCCTGTTATTGAAAAATTAATGTAAATGTTTGTGTTCGGAAGTTTTTTTTTTTTTTTTTTTTTTTTTTTTTTTGTTAGAAGATGCAAATTTTCTCAGTCAAATTTTTGTATTGATTTTAAATTATATATTTTTGATTTATTGAAGGTGGGCATATTAAATATATTGCTTTGAGTTGTTAATGTAATAATGTTAACATGGAAATATGTTCATTTTAATTTTCTTTTCATATGCAAAAGAGCATATTGTTATTAGATGTTATTCCTGTTATTATTTACCTTTATTTTCTTTTATATTAATGCATTTACAATTTTTTTTTTTTTTTTTTGTTGAAAGCATAATTAGGTTAAGAGACTATTATTATTTTCAAATGAAGGAATATTAAAAATTGTATTTTAAAAAATAATATCTTTATTACTTTTCTTTATTTTACCTGTGCATTTGTGCAAATACCTGAAGCCTAACCTTATAAGCAAATATTGCTATTTTATTACTTTGTGTGAACAATTTGAATACAAGAAGTATGCAGTTTTTAGTTTTAATGAGAGTATGTAAATTTAGTTCTATATATAAATATATCTTTTGAATTAGATTCTACATTGTTAAAAGCTTCTTTTATTAGTAGAACTAAAGATTCTTGAAAGATTGCAAAAAAAAAATAAAGTCCCTTTGGCATTAAGTTGTTTAAGTAAATTTTTCTTGATTTTACTGCCATAGCTTTAAAAGCTATATTTAAAGTTCTTATATAAAAAAAAAAGTTATTTTTCTTTAAAACAATAAAATAGTCAATTAACAAAATACAATAGCTGCCATTTAATGTTATCACATTTATTTGTCCATGGGTATTTTGATGACCTTAAAATGATAAGACAAAATAGCCATGCAATTATACTAATTTAGGGTTTACTGCTGTTAGAAACCTATTGGTAACAGTGCATTTTTTCATTATCAAGCTTACCTATGGCAATGATTTTAGAGATATACAGTTAACAGATAAAACATGATATTAAGTATTATAAGTTAAATTTAGCTTGTTAAACATGGTATTAAGTATATGTAAGTGAAATATAGCTTGTTAAACATGCTTGTACAGCAGGATATTAAACATGTGTAAGCAAAAGTTAACATAAAAAGGTAAATGTAGTATTATTATTGAAAAAGATTTCTATTAATTTTATTATTACAAAGAGAAAAAAAAAAAAAAAAAAACTTGTATGCTTCTGTTACTTTCTTTATCACATTTGTACAGTATTGTAAAGGCCCCCCTTTTTTTTTGAAAAACCTATGCTGTTGAGGAAACTGCCAGAGACATTACTGCACATAGAAAGAATATTTAATCACATTTTAAATTACCGTAAATGAATCTGGACCATTATGTTTAACTTCATGCCAATATAGATATTTAAGTTGATAAAGGCTTTTTTTTTGGGGGGGGGAGGTTATTTATTGTAAAATAATAAGTAAGTGAAGTAGGGGATTGTGTTGAATGGGGTCATAAAAGAGTCCTTTTTAGTGTAGCAATAATATATTAACAGGTTTAAGGTATACACGGACATGACATATAATTTTAAGAGTGTTACAGAGCAAGCATCTGATACAACTGAACAGGTTCATCACTTGGCCTTTACTGAAGTCTTTTTCTTGTTACTCACCATAGGGCACCTTCCTTGTGAGAGTGAGTTCACCATAGTTTATATTAAAAGATTGGTTGCAGTGAAGAATAAATTACGTATACAAAGACAAACAATAAGGGTGATCTACAGCAGGCAATATTGAAAACAAATGAAAGGAACCAAAGGAAGTGTAAGAAGAATGGTTGCTTCCTCTGAACAAATGAATTTGTTGAGTTACCAGCTTTGAACTACTATCACTGCTTTTGGTGATGTTTAAATTTACTGGGTTCTTTGCAGTAGTGCTTCCTTAAATTAATATAACTAGTAAAATTTGTTTATGAACTGTTCATACCATTTCTGGAAATTATTTGACTTGATCTTGGTACTCAGAGGGCATCCCTCATCCCTCATTAATAAAGAAAAAGCCAATGTAAAATTTAAAAGTAGGCAAACAAGGAACCTTACTTTAGATAGATGCTTTCAGGGAATTCCCCCCCCCCTTGAAAAAGAACAGTCTTCGTCAGATTGCTCTGAAAGTAAGTTATTTAAAATTTACAGCAAACTAAAGTAGCCTTAGTACTTGTCTTCTGTAGCAGCCTTGGTAAGAATTTTGATTTGGTACATTTCTGCATTAGCAAGAAACAAACGGTTGCCTATTTGTGCATGTGTGGAACGTAGCCAGCTGTGAGACTTGTGTGAATTGCAGGACACAATGAGCACTGATTTTTTTAACACACGTTGCAGTCTCGGGTCATATACGGGACCTCGCCTGTCTGAGGGTTGGATGTGACTTGCCGCGGGAGCTTGCTCCTACTTGGTCGTATCAGATGTAAAACTCCGTCGACCTGAGGTCTCGTATTCCCTTGGCCGAGAAGGGTACCATTCAAGAGGTCGCTCAAAGGCGGAAGAGAAAATGCTAATAAAAGAGGGTGGTGCATGACCAAGCAAGAGCCGCAGTCTCAGAATAATGTACATGATACATTTTCAGAATGACAAAACTGGCAAAAATAAATTGCATTCTGTCAGTATAGTGGTTTTACATTGCAAAAATTTTTCAAATGAAATCATAAATTTTAAAGTATTTAATTTATCATAGTATATAGTTTTGTTAGGTAGGTGACGCAGTCGCGCTTTCAGGCACCTGGGTGAGCACCCTGTCTTGTATGTAACTTGTCAGTGGTGTACATATCATTTGATGGGCATAGCATACAGTTCAGTAAGAAAAGTTCAAGTGGAAGTAATAGGTAATACTGAGCATGATGAAGTAGTGAACACAGTTCGATGAACAGGAAACAATCCAGCAATGAGATTGGCAATAAGATGATAACTGCAAGTTGCTGTGTAAACAAATTCAATTCGTACTTCAGAGAGGTAGTTCTCACAGAGCCAGTTTGTCAATCCCCGGTGGAACTAGTCATCCGTCGTAATGGGAGGCAGGTCAGCAATGTAGATTTCCATTGAGGGAAGTAGCAGAAGGAGGAGAGAAAGTGTAGCATAGGCACTATAGGCTGGAATTTTTGGTAGGAGAGGGTTTTCAGAGCTATATGATTTTGATTGGTCGAGCCAAAAAGGGGGAAGGGATTAGGACTTGGTATTAAAACATTGATAAGATTTTAATACTAAATTCCACAAATACAAGTATTTTTAAGGGTAGAAAAATTTAGCCCAGCTGTTAGACAACGATTCTATTAATCATGAGATAAAGGTGTTAATTGCTGCTTGAGGTGATTTCAGATGACATCTCAAAATAGATGAAGAGTTTATCTATGTTTTTTGTCTGTTGCTTTAGCTTAGAGCTATGCTTTTTGAATATTTGAGTCATTTTTAGTATATTATTTTGTCCAAAGACACTGAATTTCTTTTAAACCCTAAAGAAGTCTAGAATATTGTTGTTAATAGTTTTGTTAGAAATTGATTAAAAAATAACACACATATGCATTTTTTACAAACTCTTTCTGATGGCCATAGTTAAGCATTTGTTGCTAATTATGTCTCAAGTATAGTACGGTCAAAAGTCTTTAATGCGGACGTCCATAATTCGGAATGATCTATAATCTGGACCTCAAAGCTACAAACTTTCTGCATGCGTAATGCGTAAACGTAATTACGCTTTTTGCATGCGTAATGCTTACGTAAATGCATTGCATTTACGCATGCGCAATTAAGTATGTGCATGCACGTTTAATGTATAACGGACAGTATAAGCTAAGCTAAAATTATCTATTTCAGTTAATGTTGCAGATTGCGTTGTTCCTTAATCTTCTAATTGGATACAGCTTATTATTTTTTGCAGACTGTTAGAGCAATTTTATAAAAGTAAGCTTGAACTTTCGATTATGTCAAAAAGAATTTCCGATTCTGGAGCTCTCAAAGGATCTACAAAGTGAAAGCATGTTTCGATGCCCATGAAACGAAAAGTGGAATTGCTGTAAAAAAATGGATAAAGGCATATCCTTTGTTTCTCTAACCATTCCGAAATCTGTTTATCAATTTCACACTGCTCTGCGGGGAAACGTCACGGTGTGCAATGAACTGGAAGTTGATCTGTCAGCACTATCCTTATCTTCAGGGCATATGTTTTTATTTTGTTCTGCTTATAATTCCTTACTAAATGTAGTATTTCACCTCGATGTATTCCGTCTTTGATATGATTTAAATCAAATTCCTTGTCATTATAAATATCACGAATACACATCAAATAGTTTTCTTTTTGCAATTTTCTAATTTTGACTATGCGTAATGTATGCTTTATGCATGCGCGCGTTGAAAGAAATGTTTAATAAAGTAAACAAATAAATATTAAGCTTTTTTTTTTTTTTTTTTTTTTTTGTAAATTTGGATACCCTTTAGATCATAATTGCTCTTTATTTCATAAATTACGGTTTCATATTTTTAATTTTATAATTTCTGCATGCCATCTTACCAGATTTAAATTTTTGATCTATAATCCGGAATCGCCGAAGTCCCAACGAGTCCGGATTAGACTTCTGACTGTATCATGTTCGACTTGGTACCTGAACATGAACTCTGTTAAATAGGATTCCAGGTGATGGTGAGCCATACCTCTATGCTTTTTGTTTAGCCATTTCATTGGTTCTTGTAGTATCATAAGAAAGTATATTTGTAATCGCCTAAACCAATTCTTAGCACAAAAACTTTTCTTCTTTTTATAGCTGCGGACATTGTATTGCAGAATGATTTCTTTCCTAATATATAATTGCGTAGTATGCCCGTTT